ACGAGTCGGGACCGCGTCAACTGGAGGACAAGACGGTGCGGTGCCGTGACTGCGAGAGCACGGCGATGATGGCAACTTCAGTGACGTCGCAACCATGGGNCTTGAGTGTATATATATATATACACTCACTCAATAAATGGTCTACCAAAATACTCATACCTTATAATTAGTACTTTCCACCTCATATTTTCCAACTCGTTAACATTTTCCGGCTGTATTTCTCACCTCAGCTGTCCGTAAGGACTGCTCTATTTTTTGGTCCTCCCAGCTGCACCCATGTTTTTTGGCAACTTGAGTGTATATATATATATACACTCACTCAATAAATGGTCTACCAAAATACTCATACCTTATAATTAGTACTTTCCACCTCATATTTTCCAACTCGTTAACATTTTCCGGCTGTATTTCTCACCTCAGCTGTCCGTAAGGACTGCTCTATTTTTTGGTCCTCCCAGCTGCACCCATGTTTTTTGGCAAAAAGTTCTATCGGATCAGTGCGTTAGGGGAATTCTATATCTTTTCTACTTTCTTGGTGAAGCAAGCATTCTCTTTTAGGGACTGTTTGGCAAGCTCATGGAACTGGTTCGGGTCTAGCCTGGATTTAATTTTTAGCTGTTTTCTGTTTGAAAAGGAAAAATGGGCCAACTCTCGCTCAGTTTTTTCTAGTTCATTTTGAAGCTCAGGCAAGAGTTGATCCACCTCCCCTCTGGTTTTCCTGTCCAGGTTAAAAAGAATATACGAATTTAGCCCAATCTGCAGTTGATTTCCAAACAGAACAACCACAGTTTCTTAATATGTCAAGAGATTTTTTTTTTCGGTTATGGTGTGTAATAGTATTCTGCTTGAACTTTAGTGATCACCAGTAGATTAAGGATTTAAAGATGCCTTCTATATATTGGCTAATTTTTGAGAATGTCAACAAAATACACAAAACGGAGAGTAGAAAAGAATGGTCATCTGAACTCAGAGCCCTGTTGTTTGCAGCTCTTGAACCCACTTTCACTGGTCCACATTATCCAATTATCATGAGCAGCCAAATCCTGGTCCTTTCCTGTAAGTTTTTGACAAAGGCACGTAAAAGCCAAAAAATAAAGAACACGAGCGTTGTAAGCTAAGGTAAATACACATCAAACTTTACATAGTACAACCAGCAGTGACAAAAGAGTCCTGTAATTTCCCAGAGAGAAGAACTCACGACCTCCCACTCTCGGCTAACAGAAAAGAGTTATCTTATATCCAAAATGGTATGACAAAAAGAACCAACTTTTGAAAACTTCATCTTCATAAGCACATATTTTACTATCAGGAGCACAGAACTTTGCTGCATGTTCAAAATAGAGTGCATTTATAGGCTTATAGCGTAGATCTGTCTGTTCCTTTCTACTTCCAGCTTTTGGAGATTTTTTGAATGTCAGAGAGATCTATATCTTGATTTTCAATACTAATTGCATTCGCCAATTCGTCAACATCAATATCTCCACTAGCAATCTTTTGATCAAAATCGTTGCACGGCTCCTTTGGAATTGCTCTTATGATATAAACCTGGATGATAATACAAAGGACAAGTAGTCAATTTAAAGAACAAAATTTGTTATTTGCAATGATACTTGTTTTATATTCACAATATCGCTATCTACAAATACATACACAAATATGTACGCATAAGAGGAACTTGGAGGATTAGTAAGGAGAATGCTTGGATGTTTTGGGAACCCTTTTCGGTGTTTCCCTCTCTGGTTCGTTGGGGATGACTGCCACAGTGCATGAATCATAAAGCTTGTATCACTTGTAAGTTGCTTTCTCACTTGTAACATGTTGTAATTTTGTTTCTGCTATCAATATTTATTGTTAATTGGAGCATCCTTCCTTGAAGGATTTGAAAAAAAAAATTTAAAGAGTATTGAGTCATTTTTCAACTTCAAAATACGAGCAGTGTCAGTTGGATAAGCATCATCGTATGCCTTATCCATTTTGAGTTAATGCACAAGTTAATAGTCCATTTGAGACAGATCATCCTCATGTTAAGGGAATTTACCGTCATAACTTTGGATGCGGGAAAGTGGAAATAAAGATGATTGAGCCTTCAGATGTAAAATCTTAAGTTTTTTTTTCTTGGAGGTGGGGTTTGTGTGTGTGTGTGGGGGGGGGGGGNTCGAGAACAACCTCTCAATCCTCTCTAAACCCTAATACAATGATTAGAATCTCTCTTAATTTCCTCTCTCCTTAATCTAAACCCTAATCCTTTTGATTAGGATCTCACTTAGACCTAAAACCCTTTAGATCTACATCTGGCCTCTCCTCCTTGTTTAGAATCCTAAACAATCCCTATTTATAGGGTTTACAACATGGTGGTAATCTGGTAAATAATCAAAACCAAACCCAGCTAGGATTCCTTCAAAACAGAAACCAAGTCTGCCCAGGAAACCTTGATGAGTCGACTCAAAACTGCATATGAGTTCACTCATGACTGATGAGTCGACTCATAAACTGATGAGTCGACCGAGCAGAAACTTTTGAAAAAACGACTGGGTTTCGTGAGTCGACTCATGACAGGCATGAGTCGACTCAACCTGATGAGTCAACTCATGTTCATGTATGAGTCGACTCACGGGCTAAAAACTGGATTCTTTGAATCTGCTGCTCGTCGTCTCGTTCCACGCTCCATCCTGTGCTCCGTCGTGTCGCTTCACACCACTATTTTCAAGATATCATAAGAATAACTTATCCTCAAGCTCCCATGAGGATCGCTTTTCCGAAGAGAAGATACACCCGTATCAAGCACACAGCCTTTACATCTTCTAGAACGAAACCCTCAAATGTCTAAACAAAAGTTTACATTGGAGCTCAAAAGAAAAATATAACTAAAATAGACAGCTGAATCACTAAAGTGCATCGCCATCAACCTACGACTATCCGGGCACCTGGCTCGTTATCTGAAAGGGGAGGGACAACGAGCGTCAAAGCACTAGCGAGCAACATCACAACCAACCCCAAGGGATAGGGCTCGTTGTATACAGAAAATATAGTTAATACATATATAGATAAAATCACTGATCCTATTTAGGTAATTATAATATGAGCATAAGTACGTCGAGCGAAATAATCCAAATAAGGAAACCCTCATGTATATACCATGTAGCTCAAAAGTACGTCGAGCGAAATAATCCAAATAAGGAAACCCTCATGTATATACCATGTAGCTCAAATTGTAAATCCCTATGTATAAGAGGATTTTAGTATTTAGGAAATTACAACACGAGCATAGGTACGTCGAGCGAAATAATCCAAATAAGGAAACCCTCATGTATAGACCTTGTATCTTAAATTGTAAATACCTAAATACCAAACCCAAAATCTATTACAAGAATAATAATAAAAGAAGACAAACCCATCTCAGAACTTAAAATATTGTGTCAAGTCACAACTCACATAAGTGTCATGTCCAGCCTATGCAAGTTAAAGTGCCATACTCAAGGTCTAAACGGGTGTCCAACACATGGACTAAACTATATGTAGTGAATGTCCAACACATGGACTGCATCTAAAAATTATCCAACACATGGACTGAAAAATGAATGTACAACACATGGACTGAATGTGATAAATGCCCAACACATGGACTACACATAGAAGTTTATGAAAAGATGCATATACACTAATTTCACACGTGTCTTGGTATGCAAATCTAAACTCGTGTTTATGAGTCATCTCACATGTAGAAATATAAAATAAACATAATTTTCTAATATCAGATATTCGAGGTGACTCCTCGCTCACATAGAAGCTCGCAATAACTGTCAACATGCTCAAACAGTTTACGATTAAAGCGAAACAACTCAAACAGATCCAAAACGAGGAAAAACTGGAATTTTTCCTCATCAGTCGACTCATGAGTCGACTGGGATCATTGGTCGACTCATTGGTCGACCAGACAGAACAGAAGAAAAGAAAGAAGGCTAGAAATTTCTCGTCAGTCGACTCATTGGTCGACTCATCAGTCGACTCATGAGTCGGCTGATAAGTCGACTTATTGGTCGACTGAGCAGAAAAGTCCCAGTTTCGCATATGATGTGTATTTTGTAAAATTTTCAAACTAACATGATTCCTTTTATCATTTTCAGCAGCATATATTTGATTCTAACATAAGTGTACAAACTGGAACGAAATATTTGCATGTGATTTCTTACACAAAAACCCTAAACATATTTATACATGTTTAAAACGGATTTAAAAATCAATAAATCGCAAGGAAACCAATGTTTAATTCTAATTCCAGATCTGGATCTACATTACAAAAACGTTGGTGAGCTTTTTATAAACTAAAGTTGTAGATCTTGCAACTCATAATATAAAACATCTATCTTTATGCACAAAATACGTTTTAGGCTCAAAAATCCGAAATAAAACTCAAAGAACATTATACAAACAGTGGGTAAGGGCTGGGCGAGATGTTACTCGCCGCTGATATGCTAAAAAACTCCTGAACCCTCTGGGAAACAATTCTCCTTCGACAACACCTCAAAAATCATGCTGAAATCCTCCGAAAATTCCCCTAAAATCACCAAACACTAAGCTAGGGTTTGAAGGGAGAGAGGGGGCCAGGGTTTTTGGGTTCAGAAGGTGTTCTCGGGTAGGAGAGATAATATATGAGCGGTCAAACCCGAAACAAAAATGAACAGGCCCGCAAACTAAAAGAAAACTCGAAATCAGCCCGTCAGTCGACTCATAAGTCGACTCATAAGTCTACTGAGCAGACATTTTCTAGATCCGTGCATGTTTTGCTAATTTTCCAAAACCAATGCACAAAACTCTATAAAAATACACTTATATATATCTAATAACTTGATATCAAGTATATCCATGACCTCAAGCCATTTACCACAATAGAATTATTCATCATCAATAATTCACATATACTTCTAACAAAAATACGTGGTTTTACATTCTTCCCCCCTTAAAAGAATTTCGTCCTCGAAATTCAGAAATCATACTCAAACAATTGATATTACTCTAGATAAGCATATAGCGATATTTATATTTAATAATCCAGGATGACTATATTCCCACTCAACCCTTAATCAAATGGAACTAGTACGTTAGACGAAAAATCCAAACAAGGAACCCCCCATATATATACCATGTGTTCCATAAGATTATGAATTAAGCGAAAATATCCTCATTCTAGCGTTAAATCTAAATATAACCACATAAATATTCACACACATAAATCAATCCACTTCCTCTATAGATGCAGGAAGTCGCGCTGCATAGCATATTCGCGCTCTCGAAAATCATATACGATGTCTACACTTAACCATCTAAAATGTAAATACCCCCACTTAACCCCTAACTAAATGGAACAAGTACATCCGTGAAAAATCCAAACAAGGAACCCCTCATATATATATCATATGTTCCGAGTACTTAGGAGTTAAGTGTTAATACCCTTATTTTAGTGTTAATTGTAAACATCGCCATACATGGAACTATAAGCCATATATAAGATATACAAAAAGATTTAATTTACCTGCTCAAACAAGTGTGGGTAGTCGCGGTGCATGTCCTCTTCACGCTCCCAAGAAATCTCCTCAACGCCACTTCGGTTCTACTGAACTTTCACTAAAGGAATTACCTTGTTTCTAAGTCTCTTGTCCTCCCTAGCAAGTATACAAACCGGAATCTCAATAGTAGTAAAATCCTCCTGTACACTACTGCAAAGGGGACTATTGGCGACGGAAAAATCCGTCGCTAAAAGTCCAAAATCCGTCGCTAATCGCTTAAAAGTTTTTAGCGACTGGCCGGGAAACAAAAAAGAAATTCCGTCGCCTAATGAACTTCCGCTCGACTTATGTGTAAGCGGTACGGTAAATCATACCGTTTAGCGACTGGGCAAATCGCGTCGCCCTAGTTTATAGCGACGCGCATATCTTATAGCGACGGAAAATCCGCTCGGGCCACAAAAATTATTTTTTTTGGCGATCGCGATTTTCTCGTTCGCCCATAAAAAAAAAATTTAAAAACAAAAACCTGTTTGCCGTCGCACGGAATATATAGCGACGCGATTTTTCCGGTCGCTTATATAAGCTTTTCCGTCGCCAATAATTTATTTGGCGACGCGAGAATCATCCGTTGCGTAAAGCTTGTTTGTAGTGCCAGATCTGCGCTGTATCAAGGTTTTCCGCGCTAAGAGACGCTTTTCAGCGCACGCGAATATCCCCCGTTCGGCCGGCCCTTAAGAATTTTAATACTGAATGTTTTTTTAAAAAATTTTTGTAATATAGGAAATTCCTCGTACTCAATATATTTGCACAACAATAACCTCGCTACAATAAATTGTACGCCCTAACCACCAAGCACAGATATAACACATGATTTCACAGCCTATATATCTAACAATTATTTCACTAAAAAAACATAATAAATATGTCCCAACTATTAGAAATGGTTTATGAGCGAAGCACACCAACATTTGAGAAATTGTTCTATTACAGCGACACCCGATTGTTGTTTAATTGCTTAAAAGCATAATAAACTCGGTCTCC